ATATATATATATATATATATATATATATATATATATATATATATATATATATATTAACTACTAGTATTTTTTATAAATCCTTAGTAGTCTAGTGGAAAGTAAAAGTTTTGGTGTTTTAAAAGGTCATTTGTTCGAGGCTTGCAAACGGCAAGCCGAGAATTGTTTTGTTTTAATTAATCCCTCATAAGTTCTAGTGGGTTGTAGCCACGAAGTTTGCCTCATAGGCTGCTTCGTAGCATGCAAACGAGCTTCGCATTCGCACGATGGTGTGACCCTTACGTTCTCGAGATCAGACGAGTTTCATCTGATTTGCGAGACTCGTTTGATTGACCTGTTCGACAAGGTTCGTCTTACTAACGTCCACGAAGTTTGCCTCATAGGCTGCTTCGTAGCATGCAAACGAGCTTCGCATTCGCACGATGGTGTGACCCTTACGTTCTCGAGATCAGACGAGTTTCATCTGATTTGCGAGACTCGTTTGATTGACCTGTTCGACAAGGTTCGTCTTACTAACGTGGTTCGTTTGATTTGTGGGACTCGTTTGATTGACCCGTCCAATGAGGTTCGCCTGTTCGACGAAGTTCCTCTTACTAACGAGGTTCGTCTGATTTGTGAAACTCGTTTGTTTGACGAGGTTCACCGACAAGGTTCGTCTTACTGACGAGACTCGTTTGATTGACCCGTCCAATGAGGTTCGCCCGTTCGACGAAGTTCATCTTACTAACGAGGTTCGTCTAATTTGCGAAACTCGTTTGTTTGACGATGTTCGCCCGATCGACAAGGTTCGTCTGATTTGTTGTAAGGTGCAACACGACCTTCGCATTCAGGTGTTACTACATGCAGCAGTTATAATAACATTTAAATCAATTGTTGTTACAATCATAATGATTTATAACAGTCATATTGATTGTAGATGACTCTTAAGCTGGCCTTAGAGGCCTATAAATAGTGACTCTTAGGGTAGCTCTTGGAGAGCTCTTGAATACACACAAAAATACATTGAGCTGTTGTGTTGTTGCTGGTGCAAAGCCTATGCCCGAAGGAACTGTTGTGTTGCTGCTACTGTAGAACCTGTGCCCGAAGGATTTTTGCCTAAACCGAAAGGTTTAAGAGATCAAGAAGATCTTTGCCTTGACCGAAAGGCCTTATAGATAGAGGAGATCTTGACAATACTTGGTTGCTGCACACCATTGTATTGTACTACTATTTGTGGAAGCAGTTTGGTATTGAGATCCTTGCACCGGAGTAGGTCAAATATTGCTTTAAACATAACGTTTCACAAACGCACAGCAGTTAACTTAAAAAGTTTAAAATTACAGCACATCAATTTTCACTATTTTTTTCAAGATTTAGGGTCTGTTTGGTTATTTCCTAAAAATCAAGAAATAAAAATGGAAAAGGTGAAAATCTCAAAAAGTATCATTTCCTCCATTTCCATCTCTAAAACTCACTCACAATATCTAATAAAATATTATTTTTATCCAACAACTCATTCACAATATCTAATAAATTATTGTTTTCATCCAACAACTCATCCATCATATCTAATAAAATACTATTTTTATCTAATAACTCATCCACCATATCTAATAAAATATTATTTTCATCCATAACATTACTCAACTCATCTCATCTCATTATTTCAAATCACTCACATCATCCAATAAGATGGTGACAACTCATCTCATCTCATTAACATTTTATTTTCACCCATTTTCTCCCAAAAAGCTAGGAAAACGATTTCCTTAAGTGTGTGTCACATCATCCAATAATATAATGACAGCTCATCCCATCTCATCTATTTTCTTATTTTTAAGAATGAACCAAACAAAAGAAAACAACATATTATAGGAAATAGGTTTCTTATAATTCATTTCCTTATTTTTTTGGCCAACCAAACAACATCAAAATAAGTTTTCTTAAAAAATCACTCACATCATCCAATAATAAGGTGACAACTAACATTCAACGGATCCCTCCATGGGTATTTTAAGGGGGCTAGGGGTCTCAGGCAAGGTGATCCCCTCTCTCCCTATCTCTTTGTGTTGGGCATGGAGTATTTGTCAAGGAAGCTTAACTCTCTCAACAATGATGCCTTATTCAAATACCATCCTAAGTGCTCTAGATTGAAAATAACTCATCTATTCTTTGCTGACGATTTGCTGCTTTTTGCAAGAGCTGACATGAATTCAATTACCAAGCTTTTCTCCTGTCTGGAAGATTTTAGTCGGGTTTCTGGACTGGAAATTAACCCCAATAAATGCTCTGTTTATATGAATGGGATCAATGAAAGTCTTAAGCTCCAGATTTGCTCATACCTGAATATTTCTGAAGGAACTTTACCTGTGAGATATCTAGGCTTACCTCTTGTTACAAAGAGGTTATCATGGTTGGACTGCTCCCCCTAAATTAGCAAGATTTCAGAGAAAATTCAAAACTGGCAGAAGTTGAGAACTCTCTCTTATGCTGGGAGACTCCAACTGATAAAATCAGTTATCCTGGGTGTGCACATCTATTGGACTAATAATTTCATACTGCCGAATAAAGTCCTTAAACAGATTGACAGAATGTGTTCTGAGTTCCTCTGGAATCAAAAAATCCCCTTAGTCTCCTGGAAATCAATTTGCAAAGATAAAAAATATGGAGGTCTGGGCGTTTTCTCAGCTAAGACATGGAATTGTGCTGCTGCATTGAAGCTCTTGTGGATAATTCACCTCAAAAAGGATTCTCTTTGGATTAAATGGGTGCATGGTAATTACTTGCAGCAGTCTGATATTTGGCAAGTTCATGTGAAGTTGAATGATTCTTGGATGTGGAAACAACTTCTAAAGGTCAGAGATAAATTGATTAGAAGATTTGGAAGTGTTAACAGCTTGCAAAACATCTTATCTAAATGCTGTATTGGTGAGAAAATAAGCATATCAGGAGTTTACAGAATTCTTCTTCAACCTGATCAAGTTGCTGCCTGGTACAACACAGTTTGGGACAACATTAGTTATCCAAAACATTCTTTTGTTACCTGGCTAGCCATTCAATCAAGACTGCTCACTCAGGACAGGTTATGTGGTATGGGGATCCTTGCTGCTAATCAATGTGTTATGTGCACAAACTTCCCAGAATCTTGTGGCCACCTATTCTTTGATTGTCAATTTTCAGCTCTTGTATGGAATATGGTGATGGACTGGCTTAAATTCTCTTGGAGATCCTGTTCATGGGGATACATCATCAATTGGTATAATTCCAGGTTGAAAAGGAAAGGATTTATGGAAAAGCTAAAGAGAATGGCGCTTACAGCCTCTATATATTGGATTTGGCAAGAGAGGAATTTTAGAATATTTCAAAGCAAAGCTCGGCAACCTGAGAAGATTTTCCGAGCTATAAGGATATCCATCTTCTCCAAAATTATGAATGATAATTTTCCTATTCACATAAAAGAGAGAATTCAGGCATTGTAAATGCTTTGTTATTAGTGCTCATTTGAGTTTTTGAGTTTCAGTTCTCTTGAACTGGTTAGATAGATACATGTAAATATTCTCAATTTTGGTTATGAATAAAATTCTTTTCATTGACCAAAAAAAAAAAGGTGACAACTAACATCATCTCATCTCCATTTTTTGATTTTCTTCCTTTTTTTTAGCCAACCAAACACTCCCAAAACAATTCTTCTTAGAAATAGTTTTCCATTTGTTTGATTTTCCTTTTTTTTGGGCAATCAAACAGACCCTTAACCACAATCTCCAAGGGAAACATTTTGTTATGAGTCTCATGACTACTACCATTGAATTTTATTACTATTATTGTGCAATTGTTGGTTCCTTTTGTTGTTAGCTACTGTTGTTGTCTGTGGCCACTACTACAGTGATTGTTTTCATGACTTGATATTCAAAGTGGTCGCCTTTTGCTAGGACAAATTTTCAAAACCAACCTATTTGGATTTTTATTCCCAAAAAACGACCCCATTCAGTTTTATTTGCAAAAACCGACCTGGTTTCAGCCTCAGCGCTGAAACCAGGTCGGTTTTTGAAAAAAACTCTCCGAAACTTCACGGGAGTTGAACTCCCGTGAAGTTTTTTGAACTATGAAACTTCACGGGAGTTCAACTCCCGTGAAGTTTCGGAGAGTTTTTTTCAAAAACCGACCTGGTTTCAGCGCTGAGGCTGAAACCAGGTCGGTTTTTGCAATTATTTTTGAATGGGGTCGTTTTTGGGGAATAAAAGTCCAAATAGGTTGGTTTTGAAAATTTGTCCCCTTTTGCTAACATATGCCTTCAGATTCTCCTACATGTAACACTGTAACTGACATGACATGGTTAGTTTAAAAAAAACCGGTAATTTAAAAAGGATAAGCAATAATAGTCTAACTTTAAGTTTTTGTACGGACGTGTAACGCTTTTGATTTTCTAATCAAATCTGAGTGGCGTCCTCTTGTGTCCTATAAAATTTTGTTTATGGGGTTCTCTGCGCGAATTTTCCCGAAAAGTATGTTCAATATCATCACAAACGTTGAGGAGTATAACAAATAATTTATTATGCTTCTAAAATATCAAGATTAGATCAAATACAATAATGTAATGCTTTCAAAATGAAATGTTTAAAATTCAGCACACAAAAAAAAGTCTTAAGTGTGCTTGGGAAGGCAATTTACTAGGGGAAGAGAAGGGAAGATAAAATAGGAAAAGGAAAAGTATGGAAGGGGGAAGAAAATATAATATGTTGTTTGAGAGTTTGATGAAGGCTTGAAGGGAATGGAGGGAAACTTGTTTTATCATGTTTGGGAGTTTTACCTAGAAGAGAAGGAAAATGAAAGAAAATGTATCATAATTAAATCTCATATGTTGATCCATAGTGATAAAGGGCCATACATCTTTTATAATTATTTCCCGTCTCTTTTCATCCTCTATGCCCCAATTTGAGGGGGAACAAAATAACTAGGTTCTTATGTAAATTTCCCTTTCTCCTCTTCCATTATTCCTCTAAAAAAAAGCTCTCAAACAAAATAACTACCAAAATCTCTTCCCCTCCCTTCTCCCACCCTTCATTCAAACATCATTGTTGTTCAGTGCTTGTTGTTTGCTGGTAGGGTTAGCCAGACTCTACGCAGAAATCTTGGTCTGGGCCGGCCCAGATATTTTATTTTTAAATTTTAATTTTTTTTGCTAAAATTTTGTGATTTTTTACAAAAAAAAAATAGATTTTTGCAAAAGAAGATGCAACTTCAAAAGTATTTACAAAGATGTGAAATTATTGCAACTTGCAAAGAAATTCAATCTTATAATTAATCACCTAGAATAGAAGTATAAAAGTTTGCAAATTTCAAGGAAAATAGAAAATTAGAAATAAATTTTATTTTATTATTAATCTAATAATATCTAACGATTACAATATTCTTTTTAGAAAATCGCCGCATTATAAAAGATGAACATATCCCAACTAGGTTGACACACATATATCTATATCAATATCATTTGTAACTCTTTTCAAAATAATTATTACAGATGTACATCCCAACTAGGTTGGTAACAGACACATTGTATTCTTGTTCTACTGCAGCATTTGCTATCATTAATTCTTGAAGTCTATCTTCAATATTAGCAAAATCATTGGTGTTTTGACGTCTATCTTTCGATCCCCACCAATCGTATAAGCACATTACCCTCTATGGTAAATGGATCTATGATGTCATGTGGTCATCAATCAAACGTCCTGATACGTTGAAGGCGCATTCCGAAGCTACTATGAAAACTTGCACTATTGGTAAATCACGAGCTATGATTGAAAGCATGAGATATGAAGTCGTTCTATATGCTTTGCACTATTGCAAAATATCGCATACTTGATTATTTTGACTCTTAAGTAAAGGTGTAGCTAAATATTTTTCAAGATCAGAGTCTTTCTTACAGATGATGATCCATTACTACCATTGCTATCAATATAACTAGCTAGCTGGTCTGTTGACATTTGTCTGTCAAATGAACATGATCCCATACTCGGCCTAGAGCTTGTAGCAGTAGAAGCCATAGCTTGAGAACTTCCACTATTACCGTGTTTCCATATAAAGAATTCAACAAGGAGCCCTATATTCTTTAAAAAATGCCCAAACCAAAATAATAGGAATGGGTCTAAAAAACTAATTAAACTTTGTTTCCATTTGTATAATCATATTTTTGAAAAATAATTATCAACATGATAAGTATTTAAAAAGTTTTGAATTCTGAAAACTTGTAAAGCAACTTGAGTTGTGTAGTTGGGTAGCAACAACCAGATTAAAGGAGAGTAGCTTCATAAAAAACTTGTAGCATATTCTTACACAAGTTATAGTGTTCTATTCTTCTTCAGTTATTTTATATATAGAGAAAGAATTAATACTAGATTTTTTTTTATACTTTACTGCTACATTTAACATTAAATAGCTAAACTTTCACCAATGATCAACATCTTGTGGAAATTTTTTTAGCACTCATATTTTTTTCTTCTAAAATTTTTCCTATCTTTTAAGCCTTTTTTGAAAAGATTGAGAAAATAAGTAATAAACCTAACTTTTTCTATCATTGTTCTAATTTTATTAAATGCACTTTGTACAATTAAATATAAAATATGACACATGCATCTAATATAAAAAGGATCACCGTAGCATGGTAATAGCAAAATGACTTGATATGATTTACTGCTACATTATTACTGCTTGCATTATCCAGTGAAAGAATAAAGATTCTTTTAGAAATTTCTAATTTTATAAGTTCTTCCATTATGAAAATTTACAACATTTTCATCGGTGTGTGATTCTTCAAATAAAATAAAAGAAAGAATTCTTTTATACATTTTCCAAGTATCATCAATCCAGTGTGTTGTGATATATAAGTAATCAGTTTGTACCTTAGATGTCTAAATATCAGGTAGAGAAAATATATAATTTAAGCTTACAAAATAAGCAATTAATTTTGTTATTTCCTCTCAATAATATTTCACAATATCACGTTGACAAATTTGATGAGAATTTTTTTGAAAAGTGGGTTGAGAACCTTCTTTAATCATATCTTCAAATTATAATCTTCTACTATTCTAAATAGAATATTTTTCAAATTATCATTGTTATAGCCTGCAAATAACTATGTGTTGATCTTTCTTAAGTTGTCAACAGGTGTCCCACTCTACGCCAGATCAGACATGATCAGAGCCAAGACGACTCGAACCGTTACTGCGGCCGACTCTATAAGCTAACAACTTAATTACATGGCCGACTTGAAAGGTAGTACTTGTCGACCTACCTGTCAAATCGAGCACATAAGTCTCTACATTCGGCTCATTATCTCAGTTGACAACTTACATAGCCAACTTGAAAGGTGATACTTACCAACCTACTTATCAGACTGACTCCAGAAGCCTCCACACTCGGCCCACTATCTTAGGCGACAACTCTCGAGACCGACTAAAAAGGCGGTGTTAGTCGGCCCTTCACTAGAAGACTGAAGACGTAGTACTTCTCACCCTTCTCGCAAGGAGTCATCCCTTCTCGACAAACAGCCCGACTCATCCCTTCTCGCCAGGTCGAGTTGAATGGCGGTCTTCCTCGAGCCCCTCGCCGATAACTAGTCACCATAGCATTTAATGCATGGTCAAAATATTTGGTGGAAAATTTGTAAGAAGAAAATTGAGATTAAAATTGTGTTATTCTCTCTAACTGATTTAGATAAAGAATGATTATAATTCTCTCATTACAATTTCTTTCTAACTAACTTAGAAAAAAAATTACAATCTTCTTGTATCAGAATCCTGATTTACAAAAGAGAGAATGGTCGACAAAGATCCTCCCCTTTGTTTAAAATTGGGTTCTTCACGGTAGCGATAAGACGTCTCCCTCGAAACTTATGTCAAGTTTGCTTCTCGTTGACAATCCGAACACCTCGCTTGACTGGAACATTATCTTCTCCTCACGATTTGACGTTATAGAGAACTTACAAAACAAGTTTGAAATTAACTCTTAATGAGTTTAGGAACTCAAAGCGAGTTTAAACTCTTGTAAAAGAGTTTATTTGAACAGAAAGTCGGTTATAGCCAAGAACGAGCTCCTCGTTGCTAAAGTTGAAGATGATCTCCGTTGAAGAATAATGTCGATCCTTTCAAGCCATTTCTGATCAAAAAAATTCCAACCCTGAACTCGGTTGAGTTTTCTCTTATTTATAGGGGATTAAGGGGGTGTAACAGCTCCTTAAATCACTCCTAAGTGGGGTGTAACCGCCCTCAAATTGTGGGAAACGGTTTCGGAACCGTTCAACTCATGTTTGAACGAGTCAAACACGTTGATTTGCATTCTGGGCATGAACCTACATTCGAACGCATGGTTTAGATGATGTGTTAGCGTCCGAGCTTGAGCTGCGTCCATGGGCTTGAGCTGTGTCCATGGGCTTGAGTGTGTCCGTGGGCTTGAGCTGCGTCCATGGTTATGATCATGTTGCATC